CCTGGGCTACACGGTGATCTTAAGGCCATCTTGAGGGCCAGCTAAATAGCTCAGCAGATTAAAGAGCCTGCAAGCAGGTGCAGTGGTGGGACGCGGGAGGTGTTCAATCCCTGGACCTGCTGTGCTGGCCCCGCCCCCAGGGCACACTGAGACAGCAACTGAGACTGGGCATGTGGCATGCGCCTGTAATCCCAGCTCTTGGGAGGCTGTAAATAGAATCACTACGAGTCCAATCTAGTAGTGAGACCCTAAATACCCTGTACACCCTGCCCTAAAATAAAAAAAAATTAAGGCTAGCTGGAATTACATGAGACCCAGTCTCAAAAAAAGAAAATAATAATAAAGATATAAAGAATATATGTCAGGAATAGTACTCTGCTATAAAGAATGACAGATTTGGGACATTTGTAGGAAAATGGGTAATTGGAAAATATAACACTGAGTGAAATAAATCAGACACAAGCTTAAATACTGTATGGTATCATTTCAGCATGGCAAAATACAAACAAAATGATAAAGGATGAGTAGAAAGAGACAAGGGGACAGATCTCATCCAACAGGGAGGTGGTCCAAGGGAACAAGGATGAGGAATGAGGAGGAGGGGAGGGGAAATAAAGAGGATTCAGGCTCACCATGGGCAGGACCCTAATAATCCCTGCCAATGTAAACTTTGTAAGGCATAAAATGCACTAAGATATAAATATCAACAAGTATGTAAAAGGCAATAGGGAAACCAGAGAAAGAGGGAGGGAAGTGGAGGGAGGGAAAGGGGATTAGAAGGAAATAAACTGTAATATGTACATGTAACCACTCCCTGAGAGGACTGTACACTGTGCGAACTTCGAACATGTACTAATAAAACATCTGTAAAGAATGTAAACATGCATATGTGAAAAACTCCTGACACACTAACTTAATTCAAAAAAAAAAAAAAAAAAAAAGACTGAAGACACTTCTCCTAATATATACAAATGGCCCCTAAGCACATCTGCAAATGAAAAGATGCCTAATGTTACCTAATCACTTGAGAAATGCAAATCAAAATCACAGTAAAATACAACCTCGTACCTGCTAGGAATTGTCTAAAACAATCAGTGTTGGCAAGGTTGTGAAGAAGCTGGAGCACCTACGTATTGCCCAGTGGGACTACAAAATAGTACACATGGGGATTCCTCAGCCAGTTAAAAACACAATTCCCACATGATTCACCAATTCTACTTTTGGGGTACACACTCTAAAGAGCTAAAAGTATGAACAGGAACAGTATGTTTCTACCATGGTCACAGAATTACAATAGTCAAATATGGAAATAGCCACGTCTATAGGCAAATGAACGAATAAACAAAATACAGGATACAATGGATTATTATTCAGCCTCAGAAAGCAAATTCTGACACTGGCTACACCAATTAACCCTGACATTATGCTAAGCGAAAGGACAAACATGGCCTGATTCAACACAAATGAAGTATTTATGAAAGTTAATACAGACAAAAAGTAGAATGAGGCTGCCAGAGATCTGGAAGGAACTGGAGAGCTAGCTCTTGAAGAACAGCGTTTCAGTTTGGGACCAAGAAAAGTCCTAAAGATGGATAGGTGCTACCTGACAGTTACACAACACCATGGAGGTACATTTTACAATCATTAAAATGCTAAGTGTTATGCGTATTTTCCACAGGAAAAAAGACCAAAGATTCAAGGGTGATTTTGACTGTCTTGCAGACCAGGTAGGAAACACTGTCTGTACACTGATCAGCTCCTCATGCCTTTGTGAGAATAAGTGACAGCACAGATGGAGATGGCAGAGCCCCGGGCTTTCCTTCCACTCCGAGCCTGCATTAGGCCTACAGATCTGCAACACAAAACATGCCATTTCCATCTGGACTCTTTGCATGCACATCCTGGTCTGGAAAATGATAGCCGAGGTCTGGTGGTATCAGTTACTGCCGGCCTTGGGAGCCAGTGGTAGGAGAGATCAGCTACTTGTCTCCCGGCGGGCAGAGGGTCAGCAGTGGCAGGGAGGGGTGGTGGCACTAAGGCTTGATCTGAACTGCCCCTGAGCTCTGGGCAGCAACACAGACACTTAACCGTAGTCCTTAGGTCTAAAATACATGCACTTTTCTTCACAGTACTCACAGGGAAGAAAAAGGAAGGGATTCATTCTAATTTATAAAAAGAAAACTAAATCTCTCATTCTAAAAAATTTTTGCCTTCTAAAACCATTTTCCTACAGCAACATGATTCCTCTTATCATTCAGCTTACTTATCAAAAGCTTGAAATGACAGAATTCTTTCTTAACCAACAATGTTGGAAATGTATCCTGAAAACTTGAAACTGAACATTCGTGTCCATTCCACATCAGAAAAACCAAATTCATGTAAGGAATGTGTCAAATATACCATAAATAATCCAGGACCTGGAATACTTCAATCATGATAAACTGTAGAAAACCACACTCGTATTATTTAAATACAAGGTATTAAAAAAGACAATTATGACCATACAATTCTGCAAGGAAACAAGAAGCAACACCTGGCAGATGGGATTTCATCATACTGAGACATGCATTTGAATATGATTCACCATGGGATTACACTGTTTTAAAGATCCACTCCGCATGTTATAACCCACTTCAATTAAGTTAAATCAAGAAAGAAAAGATAAAAGGACACAAAGTGAACAGACCATAACTTTATTGAAGATTTACTTGGCTACAATTTTTACAAAAAAATAGAAAGAAAACAAAGGTAATTGTGATCCATAAGGTGCAGCCTGCAAATTTTTGCAGCATGATTACTGTATGAATGAATTACATTACGCTCCTTAAAAAACAGCTGCAGCATGTGATGGTAAATATTTTGTCAATGAAATTATGTATTAGCTTTACTTGATTTTAGTCGTTTTCCTTCACTCTATTTACAGCAGAAAAGGCAGTAATTTTCTTCCTGTTCTCCTTTGCATTTTTGCTATATAACCTGCTGCTGCAGTGAATTGAGTGCCTCTATAAAAGTTGTCTGTAGTCAATGTCCAAATAAAAATGGACTAGATAAAACAAACAAGTAATGATTAAAATATATTTACAAGTTAGTTCTGAAAAATCATTTTTGCTACTAGTAGACAATACAATGGCCTCAGCACGAATTCCCTAGGCGCTGCTACTGGAGCCTCCAATAACTTTTAAAATCAATTTACTATTCTTGGTCTTAACACTTTCATCTTTAACATTTTTCATTACAATATAAAATAAAGAAGTTTACTTAGAAATAATTAAATTCCAGAAAGACAATCAGTGGGTGTAAAAATATACCTGTTCAGATGTACTGAAAACCACCACACAGATGGGAACACCGGGAGCAACCTCCACCTCCACAGACAACGCCAACTAGCTTTGGACGCAAGTGTTTTAAATGCAGATAAACCAAGATGCTACAGTCAGTTTGTAGTCATAATTTTTTGTAAAAGGATTAGATCCCCACATTGAGCAACACAGAAGGATTTAAATCACTGGGCCCTCAGAATGACCTGTGGTGGTGAGTCCGGGTTTCCATTCTTCTCTCATTCTGCTTTTAGGTGACAACTGAAGAGCTGCCTGCTGGGTGACAAGCTGTGTTTGTGAACTGAGCCAACAGAACCAACGTAGTCTCAAGTCTCTTGTTATTTAGTTGAAGGTATCTGAATCTTTCTGAGGTCAAGCTATTATTAAGGAAGTATCAGTACTTCAAAGGATAATTACAGGAATATTAAAGATCATTCTAAATTTAATCATTTCACATAATGCCAAAAAAATAAACATTTTAAAAACATAAGAGTTAACAAAACTTTGTTGTAGTTTCACAAATAGTAAAAATGCCACAAACAAAAATGACCTATTTAAGTTGTGCAAGTATATGACACATTGCAGGCATTACAATTATCTTTTTCAAATTCAGTCAATCCAAACAGCAGCAAGGCCAAACCACATTTTTTCCTCAGTTAAGTATATTTTCCTTGAAGTGAGGTAAAGCATGGTACCAAGTGCAATGCTTATGTGTGCTACAAGAACAGAACAGAGGGGGGAAAGCTATTCAAAATGCAGCATAGTTAAGACTGCAGAGTCTTTTGTAAAAGAAATAACATTTACAATGAAAATTCATGCCAACTAATGTGTACACAATCATAAGGGATTTCTGCAGTTGCTGTTTGAAGCTGCACCTGGCCAGTCCGCTACGCTTGTGCTGGGGCACAGCCACACCCACCACCATTTCCACATTACATTCTGTCGCACACTGCAATCACAGAGGCAAAAGGGTGTGCACATGGCTGCAAAGTGGGACAACAGAGAGTGACATTTTTCTTAAGTGACAAATGCAAACCATCTCAACAAACTAAGCTGGGGAAAACTTGACAGCATTAAAACGCAGCAGCATAAAAGCGTTCATAACCATTACATATGTCTAACTCATACATTTTTTTTCTTTTTAACTTAGCCATCAGGGGATCACAGAACAGTTCAAGCTGTTAAAATCAGCTATTTTTCTCAAAAACAAAACAAACAACAACAACAACAAAAAAACCAGAAAGACAAAAAACCCTCCTGTTTGCTGCTGATAAGACATTTTGAATGGTAACAGGAAATTTGAACCCCTGAGAATACACGACCTAATCATATCCAAGTCTAAACTTTTTAGTATTAACACAAAATATTCTTCTTAAAGGTTATAAAATATATTTTCTCCCACTGGAACCATAACTGTGAAACAATCTGATTTTGGCGCCAAAAGGCAAGAGAATCCCGTAACACCGGAATACATGCATTAGACACAACGCAAAGCCCTAAGCTCCTGGCTTCAGGTAGTTTATAAATTAAGAGATCTGCGATACGATATGATCACAAATCACCCTCACAAACAAACTCATATCCAGCCTTATTTGTTAACTATATATAATTATATCATTTAAGAATTGCTTGGTTTCAACTTGCCATGATATCTCATATTAAGGTTTTTTTTTTAAAAAAAGAAATCAAATAAACATTTAAAATTCCAAATCAGAATTAAATATTTTTAAAATAAATCACCTATATTCATTTGCTTAAAAACTCATTTAATAATTTAGGTCTCAATTTAAATTTAAGATCAGAGACAACAAATAACATTAGAGAAGCTCAATACCCTTTCCCCAGGGTTCCCTCCACAGTGAGCTGACAGTTTCTCCACGTGCACATAGTCGTTTCTCAGCGGGTGGATGGTGCAGGAAAAATGAATTGTAATTTAAACATAAATACAGCATTACATGAAGCATCAACTTCAAAAACAACATGCGAGAAAAATGAGACCTCTGCTCAGCTTTCTTAAACTTCAAGCATATTAATGGGGCAAATTGCAGCAAACCTCTACTGGTATGTCAATGGGAGTGCAAGACTGACCCACAGCTTTTGAAAAGGTAAATTAAGAGGTATTATAGTTACAGTGCAAAAAAAATTAAATTTTCAAGCATAATACATAAACATAGCACCAACAGGGGAAAAAACGCATGCAAAAGAAAAGAACTGAGGTATTTAAGTGAAGAGTGTCTACAAGTCTAATTAAAGAAACTTAGGCAAATGCCTAATATTGGGTTTTTTTCCTTTTCCCCAAGATGGAAATAATGAGCTAGTTTATCTAAATTAGTGACCTAAATCACAGATGTATCAAAATTATGGCAGTTTATCACAAACTTCGTTAAACTTCCATGGCATTAACAGCACAGCTTTGGTAGGTGAAATGTGCATGCAACATTTGAAAAGTAGAGTAAGAAATTTATGTGAGAAGACTAAGGTAAAGGTGCTTTGTTTTGCTTCTTTAAATAAGTAACCAATCAATTATAAAATCTGCAGCATATTTTAGGTGTGATATGTCTAAGGTTTATCTTGTTAAAACAACAGCCTACAGGGCAAAATTATTTGCCACAAACATTTTCACCAGTGGAACTACCTAGCAGGAGGTTTTTAGCAAAATTGAGTATTTAACCAAAGATCCTTTTTAATATGATGTTTAAGAAAATCCATAGACTACATATTCTGGTTTTTCAAATGCCTTCAATACACATGACAGAAATGCTAGTATAATCCTGTAATAATTTAAGGTACCACCATACTACAGAGCTGTAAATATCACTCTGTCTCAACAACTAATGCATGAAAAAATTAAGGGAATGTAAAACATTTAATTTCTGTTCCAAAAGGTCAGAAATTAAAAAGAATACCCATGAAGATTTTACTTTTAAGGCAAGAACCTTTGTTATGCAGGACTATGTGGTATCAGAAAACTCAAATTTGATTCACCAACATGCCAGCCAAGGCTGAATAAAAATCTGTCCCTTACTATGAAGTGCAACAGCGACCAAGAACATTCTTGCACGAGACACCATGGGAAGCAGAGCACACCGGCAAGCATCTCCTGCACACGCCTCTCTAGCGGGCTCGCCACCCGGCCTCGGACTGGCACTATCACACAGATGAAGGGTGTTCAGAGGACTCTATCAAATGTACGGACTGTTTGAAGTTTAAGTTCCATGGCATTCTAATGCTAAGCAAAGCAGACAGAAATTAAACACACATACATATAAAAAGAAAATAAAACAAAAACACAATAATCATTCTGACCATTTGCTAAAATGTCATCATTAAAGCACTCTTGTGATTTAAACAAAGCAGAAGTGAAGAAAGGACAAGATTGTGTTTGCGCAAAAAACTAAAACTACAATTAGTTCCAAAAATTTTATACATACGTTAAATGTTTTATTCTGTCATCTATCTTGTTATCAAACAGATTTTAAATTCTGCCTTCAATTCATTCTGGTCAATATCAATTTTAAATCATCCTTTTCATTTAAATATTTCCCCTTAATTCTGTTTTTTTTTTTGTTTTGTTTTTGTTTTTTTGTTTTTTTAGGGCATTGTTTGTTTTTAAAAAGGGTTTTCAGTTGTTGGGAACCTGAGGTTGATTTGCTTTGAGGCTTCGTAGGGCTCTTCGGGCCGCTGCAGATTTGGCAATCCTGTAACTTCGGCCAACACCTTTAAATTTCCCCTTTCCTACTACTTCCACCGTGACTCTGACCTTCCCATCGTAAGTTCTCTCAGCCGGGCTGTAAAAAAATGCAAACAGCTTACATTAGAAGTCAAATTATTATTATTGTCGGGCTGCATTCTGTATGCACTCTCAAGCTGAGGCGAGAGTCTGCACACAAGCTGACACCACACACAGGAAGTGTGCAACAGGACGCACGCAGACCACTGACAGACACGGCTGCCAGTTCTTTAATTCAGCTTTGCTTTGTAAAACAAAAAGAAAAAAAGAGCACTCAGACTAAGAATGTTCCAGTGTAAATATTTTCAGAACCATTAGTTTATGGTATCTTTGAGAACTATATTTCCATGCAGATTTTGCTTACCTAAATTTGGCGGTTTCTGGTTCCATTTCAAGCAATTCTCGCACAGGGGAACGGGGCACATTTGCAGAAAACTTTTCTGTAATCAAAATGAAACAATAATGTGAATAATATTCTAGACCTGTTTTAATTTTGTTTTTGTTTCTTTTGAAAAAAAGCCAACATACCTATTAGTGGCCTCATCATGGGGTAGTACACCTGCCAGACCATCTCCAGGGACATCCCACTGTCCATATAGATGGCACCAGCAAGCGACTCAAAGATATCCCCCATGGCCTTTGGAACTTCAATGTCCTCTTCCTTCTCTTCATCCTCCTCGGATCTCCTAAGCTATTACAGAGAAAAGTGACTCATAAACAGAAAGGCCATGTTTTATTAAAGACTTATACTTTCTTATGTATAACTTTTATTATTTATTTAACAAGAATAATAATCCGAACCATTTATGGCATGCCTACTATGATGTAACAGGTTTTTCCACAAACATCATTTAATCTTTAAAAAAAGAAACAACAAAAGTCCCCACTCTGTTTAGTATTCTATACTAGCAAATGAAAAGGTTAATCACTTCTAAATTAAAGCAAAAGCACATTCAATACAGAAATAGAAGTAAAAGTAGTCAATAAATGCATGGGAAAAAACCTCTCACATTCACTCATAAGCAAACAACTGCACATTCCACTGGTTCTCACCCCCGCTGCTTGGCAGGGCTGGCCAGGGTGCTCTGCAGGTCGGAGCTGGCCAGGCTGGCCGCGCACAGCTCTCATGCAGGGAAATTCCTGCTGCAAGGTTTTTCCCCGCCAGGCTCTTTTCATTAAACCACTCGATACAAGTTCACTAAACAAACAGAATATCTAACCCACTCTAGGTATGTACTCAGATTAATAGAACAAAATCTTATATAGGTAACAAAAGCCTTTTGAAAGTCCTTAATTCTTTGATGCAGCAATTTTGTCTCCACAAATTTTTCTTTTAATATCACATCTATGTTTAGTAAAAGTCCTAATTAAAAGTCATAAAGGATTATTTAAACAAATTAGCCATATACTAATCAGCATGTAACAAGTCAAGATCTTAATGCCAAGCAATACATGGAAAGTCACATTAAGTAAAAAGAACAGTCACTATACATATATAATTATATGTTATACTTATATGTTTATCTATCTATGTATATGACCAATAATGCATCCTAAAATGTTGATATTCACAGTAGCGTAACTAGGTAACGTCAATTAAGTTTTTACTTGGGTTTTCTAATTCTCCTAAAACAAATTCTTTGTGAGATTTAAAAAGAGAAAAACATTAATTTCTAGATGTTTAGCCACTATATTCTGTGTATTTAAAATGCTGTTAGAAAACCAGATACTTGTTTCTGCCTCATGATTTTTAATTAGAAAGGAATTTTAAAATTTACCAAGTTTAATTTTAATCATAGTTGAGACCAAGAAAGAGAAACACTTAAGATCAAATACAAAGTTAGAAAAACCATGCCATGACTTTCTAGCAAATTATTGTAATTTCCATACATATGTAAATAAGGAAATAAAAGAACAAAAAAAGAAGACCCGGATGTTCCACTGGCCCCAAAAGAACTTAAATCTAACTTGAGCAAAGGCCTCAGATTTAGGGCTTAACTACTGCCCAGGACAGCCGAGGAACAATGCTGCAGCAGCACAGATAGCACAGGTCTCCCTCTGCCTTGGCTGTGCTGTCTGCTGCTGGCCGTGGGCGCTGCTCAGAGGCAGAGGGGAAGGACAGAGAGCCCTGCTGCCGACTCGCTCTGTACACATCTGCGCAGCCCACAGGACCTGCCACTCTGCCCTGTGGCCAGGCCTGGGAGCCCCGACCAGGGGTGGTGAGCTTACAGCACCCAAGCTGCACTGGGCTATTATCAGTGAAAGCTCTAAAATGTTCACCATCACTGATCCAGATTCTCTTTTTTTCTCAAAGAAAGCCAAAGAAACTCACAATTCTCCCAACAGTGGGATGGGACCATGTAAAAAAAAAAAAAGATGATACTAATTAAAGTGAGAACAAGTAAAGCAACTGCAAAGTTAAGAATATATTCTCTGACTCTATAAGAAATCTACCAAAATAAGAAAATAAAAGGCATCAGAATGGGCAGGCTAAGAAATATAAGTGCCCTCTTGGGTCCACAGGTGTGCAGGTCCCTGCTACCGAGAATCAGGGGCGGCTGGCAAGACCGGAGCAGGATCCTTTCCTACAAAAATTCACAGCACACTGTGTACACACACTGGAATTAACTCCATCACCAAAGAACCTCTGGCTGAACTTACAGTAAATGCCTCCCAAATTCCAATGGTTAAAAATTTAGAAGTTTGGTTTTACATGAGATTTCCCCACTTCAAGTAAAGCAGAATGTGTCTTTGTGATGCTTACCTGAGATATTAAGAAATATTTGTTTCATCTGAAAAAAGAAAAAGTGGAGCAGGGAAGATGGCTTAGTGGCTGGGTTCAATCCCTGGTTCCGCAAAAAAAAAATAAATAAAATAAAAACAATAATAAAAAAAAGAAAAAGCTGCACCAACTTTGAGTGAGTTGGGCTATCCTGGGGCAGAGGAGGAGGGTGCCACTGGCTGTGTGAACCAGAAGCCCTTGCGCGAGGCCACAGCTCCTCCCCCTCAGCGGGGCAATGGCACACTCTGGGTGCAGAGGTCTCCCCAACACTTAGGTAAGGCTTGGCTCTCCCCAGAGTGTGTAGCGCAAGGTTTCGAGGCCCTGACCACTAGCTATTCAGCTATGAAATCAGGGAGTAAACTACCATAATCCCTGCTTAGATGGTTTTCCCCCAGCACTGAATCCAGTACAGTTTTAAATAGCACTAACCTCAGAATCCATCCCTTGCATCTCATTCTTCTCGAGCTGAAACTGCACAAAGTCATCAATGACATGGAAGAGCTCGGGAGAAACAGCTTTGAAGTATTTGTGGTAGTCATACTTCACAGCCAGGGATGCGAAGATGGTATTGTTGACCAGAGCAGAGCGCAGGTCAGTCAAGACCCCTGGTGAGTGCTGCCGTGGGTCTTCATAAAGGTGCTTGGTTATGAGGTAGTCCAAGATCGCATCGCCCAGGAATTCTAAGCGCTGGTAACAATCTGCACAGGAACCCAAATTAGAATCAGCCTGCACAACACTTATACATAAAGGGAGTAAGCTTTTTATTATACATATGAAACACTTCATGCTTTGCTTTGACAGTTCAGATTTAAGTACTTACTATTCTTGTACAGAAAGCAAAATATAAACCTTATCTGTAGCAGGCTGTTGTTTTGGGGACTTACTCCCACTTTATTCTTACAGATTAGGAGCCAATTAAATGCAGCAAGAGAAAAATCCCAGCACGGTAAAACAAAGATGATAGCAGAGCCAGCAAGAGCACAATGAAACTTCCCTATGAAATGTTTTTTGCTTTTTTTTTTAACAGCATAGTGTTGGATTTTTTTTTTGAACATATATTCCATGCTTGGCTTTTTGTTTTAATCTTGCCATCTTTAGGCATGAAAAAACCCAGACCAAGGATCCTTTTTGCCCAGAATAAAAAAGTATGGCGATATAGGCAGACTACATGAAAATCTCAAGAACCAAAAGTAGCACTAAACAGGCATCAGAAAGGTATTTGGGTCAGGGCAGATGGAAAGAGTGCAAAGTATAAAGGCTCACTTTTCTCTTAAGTATGCAGCACATAAAAAGACATCTCCACAAGTAAACAAGATCACTGTATTCCCAACTGTCAAAGTTACAAGTTACTGCTCCCCCAAAAGACAAAAAGCACTGATTTGTTTTCTTCCGCTTCCTTCCATGGCCACACATACTAAGCATCAGGACTGCACATGCATAGAACCCTTACCAGAGCTCAATACTGTAAGCAACACAGAATCTCCTTGGGACAGGAGGGTGGCTAGAGCTCTTACCAGTGATAGTGTTGTAGTGGTAGGAGGCATGGGTGAATGCCTGCAGAAGATAAGCCTTATTCTTGAATCTGTAGTTGATTTTCTTCTCAAAATTTTCAAACCCTGATATAAGGTGATTCAGGGTTTTATCTGCATCTGGATGGTCAAACATACACCTGGGAGGGATCTTCAGGCAGCCGTACTCCAAGTCTTTCCATGCGGAGGAGCGTGAGCTGGCTGCAGCAGCAGAGGTACAGCTCCCTGAAAGGCCCTTTTGTTGGCTGCTGAAATTCTCCCGAGCAGGGCACAGGGCCTTTTCCCGACCAGTCCTTTTAATTACCGGGAGCACCTTCAGCCCCAGTGAACAGAGGAAAAGCTGAGCAGCTCTCTCACCACAGCTGGTTAAGTAGCAGCCCAGCAGGGCCTCCACACAGTCTGCTATGCTTTTGTCAGCAATACACTGCTCGGTGTGCAAGTCATAAGAGATGGACTGTTTTCCTGTGTCAACACCACAGTTTTCTTCTGATGGATTCCAGAACCCCACCACGAAGTCATCCTCTTCAACAGCTTTGCTAGGGTCCAGATAGCACATGGCATCCCAAGAGCTGTAGTCGAAATCCTCAAAGTCTGATGAAAACGGCATACTACCTAGGGAAGATTTTTTGGGCATTTTCCATTCATATGCAGAATCAGTGGTTGAAAAAGGAGAAAGAGAAATTTTCTTTACAAAAGCTCCTGATCCCATTAACATGTTATCTATGAACTTGATATGCTCCTGGTCATATTCCAGGAAATCGTCTTCATACTCAGCTTCCTCCTTCGGAGCCCTCCACATCAGGCCCTCTTCCTCCTCCTCCTCTTCTTCCTCCTCCTCCTCAGATTCATCCTCCAGTTTGCCATTAGCCAACATGCAGTCTTCTGTCTGAAACAGGGAATGGAGAAGGAGGGGGGAGACATAGCTGCTGTTTTTAAAAGGGTCTGAAACTCAATAAAAGCAAGGGTTATGGGTAATTTCAAATGACAACCACAAATACCGAAAGGCAACTTTAAAATCATGGCCATTTGTTTTCAATTAACATAAAATAAGTTATTTAATCATATAAACAAAGTAAAACATGTTCTTTGAATGTTCATTTTCTAAGTTATAAAATAACCTTTATCCAGTACGAAGCTTAAACTTAAGTGTTTTGAACATGGATACAAAGTTAAATTAATGTCCACAGTGCTGAGACCTCAAGTAAGAAGCCGAACTCTGGCAGGACCCAGAGTGAAGGTGCTCATGCTGGTCACAGGGATATTCCATTTGGCTGATGAGGTTTTAAAACATAAAATGAATAAAATGAAGTTCCAGATGTAGAAAAAAACATCTTTTTAATTAAGGGTGTAATCTAAAAACAAAGTATTTGCAAAATCTTGTAACACTAAAAAAAAAAAAAAAATCAGCAGAGTTTTATAATAAAGTAGTTCTCCCTATTTTCACTTCAAATCAAAGTATGTTTGCTGCAACATAGAACTAAACTGCTTTACTTAAAAAATAAACGTGACCACTGAAGTAAGTTATGAATGAGAAATTATGCTTTCCCCCTCTACTCAGAGCTATAATAATCAGAGCAACAGATTATAGCATAACTGACAAAAATAGAAGAAAATTTAGACTAACATGAAACACTACAATCCAATTTCTGTCAAAAGATCTTTCCTAATTCCCATTTCTTTGGCAAAAGCTTATTTGTGAATGACAACCTTAATAACAGGCTAGGCTTCAGTACTGATGCAACTTTTTGCAATGCTAGAAAGATGCCAAATTTCTGTTTTACAATAAAAAAAACCAACAACAAAAATACCACTTTACTTTGGAGGAAAAGGCAAGAGGGCATGCTTCAATTTTGTAACAACTTTACAGTGCACACTGACAAAATCTTTTCAAACTGCCTGCCAAACTTTTTGCTAAGTAGTGCAAGTATTTCATTTTAAGCCAGAGTCACACAACAGAAACACTGCATTTGTCTGTAAAGAAATAACAGCAGTAAGGCACGCCACACATTTATAACTACACATCTTTCAAAGTTCTGTGTGTGTGTGTGCACGCGCGCGCGTGTGAAAGTTTCACGTTTATTAAAAGTAAGAAAAAAAACAGGTTCTGCAGAGAGTTTGGGCCAAGTAAAAGTAGGTGGGGGGATTTAAAATATATATCCTGCAGCATAGGGACTATCACAAAGTGACGCAGCAGTCCATCTTTCAAACTGTGAAATTTAAAAAAAAATTTTTTTTTTTGTTTTTGAAGAACACCAAAAGAAATCACAGTGGCACACTTCAAGCACTACTTGTTAAAGCCCCCACATTTTCCTATGTAACGGAAGACAGTTTTGACTAATTTTTGGTTCTTGAAAGAGGCAGATTACAATCTAAAAAGGGAAAGTGAGTAATTTAAGAATGAATCCTTACATTTCTTCAAAAAGATCCTGCTATAAACTAAAATTGGCAATGCACAAAACACAACTGGTTTTTATCATGAATAAACAGTGTGATCCTAGGTGAAGTCCCTTTGTGCCACTAGGTTTAGATTTTTTTTTTTAAATCTACAAAACAGCAAGGTTCTACTTCATAAAATGTTCTCCAAAAACACTTGAAGTCTTTTAAGAAAAGAACGGTGTGCAACCTTTTTTTTCTCAGAACAAATCAACTTTCCATAGGAGCTAATAGCACACTCTCCTTTGGAAGTATTCTTATGCAAAGGTGTTATGTACACCTATTCCCTAAGGACAGGGAAGGTGGCTAGAACAGAAAAGGCAGAAATGGGAAACAGTATAGCTTCCCAACACAACGCAAGGGCCCATTTCAAAACATGCAAATCAGTAAATCAAAGTCTGAAGAGTATTTTTAATCCATTCCAAGAATCAAAGCCCCCAGTCATCAGACATTAAGGAAAATAAAAAATAAAAATGACATGCCAATGCACTTTATATAATAATTTTTTAGAGTCAAATATATCATGAAGCAGTATTTATAAAGGACAACTATTACTGGAATGTTTTTACAGAAATGCAATGCTTCTCTAAATCTCTGAGGTTTTATGAATTTATAAATTAATGACAAAATATAATTTTAATTATATTAAAACAGCCTCTTAAAAATCTTTCCACATTTCTCTTGATGCTCCGAGGCTCATTCCTACAGCGGCAGCTCTAAACACGAGGACTCGGCGGCAGCTGAGTTAGTGGCAAGAGGTCTGCAGCATTCGCCCATATTCCCAATGACTTTACCCCTCATTCCCAAACCTTTCCACATCAGATTAGCAGGAAAGCCAGTGATGGTGAAGCTGAAGTGGGGGATGGTGCACAAGGGATACCTAGGCTCCGTAGATGGCTACCTGAACATGCGGCTTACAATACAGAACAACACACAGATGGAGCATTGTCTGGACACCTGGTGAAGTTTTAATAAGGTATAATAATGTCCTTTATATCAGAGGTGTTGAAGAGAAAGAAGAAGATGGGGAAATGAGAAGACAGCATCTTTTGTATGTGTGTTTTATGTATATATATATATCTAATATATATCTAAACAATACAAGATGTTTTTTCTTTAAAAAAAAAAATCTTTCCAAGTTCCATTTTTGCAATGAGCCAAACAGCGTGTAAGTTTGAAATGCACTCAACAAGCAAATACAAATACTTAGACCATATCTAGGATCTACATGTCAAAAAAGAAGGTGTTAAGAGTACGCTGTTTATAAAATATAACCTGTGACGAACATGGTGTCATCCTTGCCAAAAATGTTTTGTCAGAATACACTATAAAGGTGCACAACACGAGCCAACTTGGTTAATGTAAAATAATGTGGGAAGCAAAGCCGCCCGGAAGCTGAGAAGCCTGGCCAGGCCTCCCCCCAGCCAGGCCTCCGCAGTGCAAAGGCCTCCAGCCGCCCTCTGGTGGCCTCAGGACAAGACAAGGGAAGAAGCTGGTGCTAAGGTGCAGTTTTGCGAAATCACTGGCAAGACTTAAAATGATTTCCAGAAGACCACAACTGTTAAGGATATTTTTTTCATTTCACAAGAGGAGAGATAGTCCTGAGGAAACTCTGAACTAGTTTTGCTGAGATTATTTCAGATACAGCTGAGAGATCGCAGGTCACTGAAAAGTCACTTCCTTGCACAGAGATAAGGATCTATGGGAATCGTAATACCTAACAGTAAAGTGAAACTCGTGTTTTGTTTTGTTTTTTTCCAAGTCAAAACATAACAAAAGTTTTTGCCTTTGAAAAAGAAAGATAAAAATAGAAACTGTCCCCCACCAAAATTATATTACTGGTATTTCAAAACTCCTAGAGGACGGTTTATTTAAAGGAATTATGGGGGGCCTGCCAGTTAGCTCAGTTGTTTAAGCACCTGCTCATGCAAATGCAGTCAGGTGCAGGATACTGCAGTTCGATTCCCACCTCCACCTACCTTACCAGACTTGCTCTTAAGGCAGTCTGAGTCAGCCAAAAAAAAAAAAAAAAAATCATTCCAAAGAAATTAATTTACTATCAAATATCTATTCTATTGTACATATTTGTGGATGACATGGAAAGAAAACAAAACATAGCACAAAATTCTCCCACTCATCAGAAACTAAATGCCTTCCAGTTAGCAAAAACTTACCATTTCATCTTTTTCCCATTTATCAGTGTTACTTTTGTCCTGATTTACTACATAACCAGGAGGAAGCCAATTCACAGGGGGATCAAATATTGACACCACCATACGGCTGGGCAGTCCCTTCTTCTTGCCAAGGCGATAGAGATTACAGTTGCTGACCTTTGGCAGAAAAGATTAAACACATCCATAAATAATCACTACTGGAAATCCTACAAGGCACGTTAACATACTCTAAGCTAAATGGCCTATATTACTATTATTATAACTGTTTCATCACAGTTTTTCAACCTACTTACAACAGGAAAAGAATTTTTAGATTCCCAAGCACTCAACATTCTATATCCTTTAAGTGTTTCTGAATATAAAATACAATCCACAAGAATCTTAATGTAACTAATTATACAAACTTCCCAGGAGTAAATCAAAAGAAATGGTATAATTTTAAAAACAACTTGATATAAAATACAAAGTTCCAACTGGACTTATCAGAGTTCAAAATAAATCAAAATATTCAAGATAACAAAATATCCTCAAGAATTAAGAGAAAAAGTGCCACGAACAATAATTTACAAAGTAGAAACTGCCAGTACGCAGAGCTAAAACCAATTCATAGTCCTAGAATCTAAAGTACACATGTGATTTCAACTGTACATTTTCTTAAATACTATTCCTTTGTTTTAGATGGCATTTTGAGACATTTTTGTTCTACCATTTTAAACTGGAGAAAAAGGTAATAAAGAACATTTGCTTATTCACATCAATGAAACGGTTTTATTGTCTACCCTCTGGTCTATCTGATTTTCCTAAAGCTTCTATCTCTAATTTTCTTAAATCTTTGTATGTTTGTCTAGCTTTTACTTGGAGAACTGCTGAGCACATTTCCATTTTCTAAAAATTTGGTATTAAACTATTTCATGAACTCTTTGCCAGGTAACTGAACTATTACTTAGCACACACCCACTGATGAGAGGCACTTGGCCAGGTGGCGCTGAGGGGACCAGTCATCCTCGCAAAGCACACAGACCCACAGGGGAGAGGTGATACAAGAGCACCACTGTGCACAAAAGTACTCTGCCCATGGTCAACACTGCAGCTGCCCATAAATGTAAGTCCCCTGCCTGGTCCACGCTAGAATGAAGCAGTGCGAAAGGATGATGTGTAGTGGGGCACACTCAAAGCTATGGCTGGCAGGGTGGAGGAGGAAAAGGATTCAGGCATGAAGCAAAACTCAGGATAGGCAGAAGGCAAGAGGTGGCAGCAGGAGAGCGCTCACAGAGACAGCACCTCAAAGGGTGGGACTGGGAGGAGACTGTGGGCTCTAAGGACAGAGCCGTGGGCAGCAGCCTGCTCGGGACCAGCTGAGGTGTCCTGACCACATAATGCTGCTGTGCTTTGCATGGGAAACAGGAGTCAAAAGACTGAGCAAGTGAATAACGTATGAATTTTTGTAACATAAAGTAACCCTTTTTGCTTAATAAACAATAACTATTTCTTACTTCACACTCACTCGCAGGCCCTGATACTTTCTTCCTGCAACACCTTAAAAATTACACTTGTAAAAAAAAAAAAAATTACAATTGTCCTCAGTGCCTCAACTATCACTGTCAAAATGTATCTGAGTCCTAAATCCTCAATTATCTGGACATTACCACTATGTAATCCATAAGGTCAAAAACCCCTAATCCTGACTTCCCGTATCCCCCACCTACCACTGCCACTGTGCCCAGCTTCCCAGCTGCTCAGCTTGTTATCTGGGCATCACCAGGCTGTCTCAAGCACCAGGGGAAGCAGCACAAGGACAGTGGAGCAGCCTCTGGTCTCAGATACGCAGACTATTCTGGCCTAGTGGGATGACCTTACACGAGATAATCATGCTCTCTAGGGATCAGTTTCCTCTCTGCAAAATGAGGACATGTGCCTCTGAGAGGCTTGTGACAAGATGATTCCAGATAGCATTTCTAAAATGCTTGGCCATTTCCACTCTCCCAGCACCAGCACCTTTATCGCCTGTGCGAGCTAACTTGTTCTGCCATTCGGTCTGCTTAATGTGGCTCTGTACTGTACACTTACCTCTTATATTAATGCCTTCCTTAACTCACAAGTGAAATGTAAGCTTCTTGTTTGCCAAGGATGCCCATATTGCCCTGTGATACCTGTTTCATCATCATTTAAATATTTTACCTTAACTACTTTCTTCCACATTAAGCTTAAGAACATGCCCTTCTTCAGGCCTAATACTCAGAACTCTAACTTTACTCACTCTGTACACTAGCATTAACTAAGTTCCGTGAAGCATGTTCTTTCCCCCCTGCTTACTCCCTGGAACTCTGCTGAGCAGTTCCTCCAAGGAAGACGTTGTTTTACATGTGGACACCGGTGTATCAAAATCCTTCCAAGCAAAGTTTAACCCTCCTGGGTAAAAGCATGAGCCCTTCAAATGACTGCAATCCCATTTATTTCTATTACTCTCAGGCTCTAGGAGGTACAACACTCGCACAAACAGGCATACATGAAGTGGACTTCCTCGATCAATAGGCACGTACAGATGAGGTAAGCCCCAAGCCTGAGTGTATGACCAGCACACAGCAATCGTGTTACCTGCCAGCTGCTCCTCCATGGCTTCAGCTGGCCCTGATGGAACCATGGAGAAATCTCTGCGAAACACTTCCCCAGCCTCAGAGGCCATCAACACTTCAAACCTCTCTCAGGCACAATGAAGAATTATCTGCTCAAAATAAGAAATCACAGCTTACCTTTTTGCTTCTCATATACGAAAGGCGGCCCTCATGAGCATCAGGGTAAGTGCAAAATAGGTATGTGGTGATGGCATGCTTTAAAAAGGAGTCACCAAGCATTTCAAGCCGCTCCAGGTTAAACCCATCACTAGCATTGGACAAAGTCAAAGCCTGAAGAATCAGTCCAGGATTGGGGCCAAGAGTCCTTGAGGAGTACCCAAGAGAAGGGCTCTGCTCAGAATCCATCCTGTCCTTGAGCACTTGAATAGCATCTGTCGTACCAGGGATGGCAGCCATCAGGGGACTTCCTTCTGAGGTAGATTTGTTAGCATTTCCATCAAGGTATTTATTACTCAGTAGAGTACATTCATTGCTGGGCTTGGGCTGGTTCTCATAATTGTATAAATTCTGAATGGGATATGAGGTAGTTGGTTGTACAGGTATTTCCTGCTTGTAGTAATTCAGCTGATTTCCTTGGCAAAAGTCTCTGTTAACTAAATCGTAACTGCCATTGGTGAGATTTTTATTGTAAGAAAGACCATTAATTGCGGTAAGGTCTGTTGAGACTTGGATTTGGAGCTTGCCAGATGACTCGCTGAGTAACGTTCTGCAGCTCACAGACATTTGGTCATGATTTGCTAAGGAGGTTCTATTAGCACCTTGATGTGCAGCATTTTCAGGGACTGTAATTGTGCTGTGTTTACAGTAATTATCATTTTCAGCCAAAGAGGAATTAGAAATTGAGATGAAAGATTTGCTGTCGATAGATTTTTTCCACCCGAAGTCTAAATTAGGATATCTGCAAAGACATTTTTAGACTTCATCAGATCCTTCAAAATGATTAGGCCCAGAGAGTCACAGCAACCTGAATTTTAAAAAACATGTAGAGAGCACTATAAAAATATACCTATTTTGGAAGAGAAACAAGTTTCCAAGCCACACCTGCTTTACTCTACTGCTTTAACACGTTTATGACAGGGCTGTAATTCTTATGTCTTGCTCCCAGGTGGTGCTGAACCACTGGTGATACATACAGGACTGCCCCACTGAGGGTCAAGGTCTGTCCCATCAGGTGGTGCAAGCCACGTGTCGTAGTCATGCATGTATTCATGGGGGTTCAGGTGCAGAGGTGTTAATCCTGCCCTAGAGCACAGCACTGTGATTGAGATCAGGGAGCCCAGAAGTGGCCTTTGGGTCCTGGATTAACAGAGGTCAAGGGTGGAAGTGCATGCTTGCATAACCCAGAAAGCAACTCTGGACAACTGACCAACCTCCCTGTGCCTACCTTCTCTGCTTGGAGACAAGGCTAAGGATCCTAGCTCATGGGACCATTCTAAGACTTAAATGAGCTAACGCAGGCTGCTGTTAAGTAATAAATACAGGTGTGATTATTAACATTATAAAGTTGTTCACTCTCTAGTACCATCTGATTGTCTACTAGATAACCAAAACTAATTTGATCAAACCAAAAACTTCTTTGGAACACAAAAGATTTTACTAAATAAGAAAAATAAGGATAAAGAATACAATAAGGCATTCTTTTGTTAATATTTATTATACATTAAACTGCTTATTAGTGTATGTTTAGTTCTTTAAAACAAACAGCCATGGCTGCTGGTACCCCCAAGGCCACCGCTGGAGAAGCCAAGCTAACTGGTATGACAGGAGCACACTTCCCCAGTGACTGAATGTGCACATTCTCACGAGTCAAACAGTCACTTCTTTTCATGTATTAGATACTCACATTTTCTTCTTTTTTTAAATTTGTTATAGGCTCTCCTATGCAGCTCAGACTCACAGTGGTCCTCCTGTCTCAGCCTCCCCAGCTCTGGGATTAAGGTGTGTGCCACCACGCCCAGTTTAAGTGGCCAGCACAGCATTTGGTACCTGGAATTGGACCTGGGTCCTTGAACTTGTCAGGCAGGCACTTAGACTGCTGAGCTATCTCCCCAGCCCTCACGTTTTCTTCTTAATCATTCAAGAAATATAAATAAAATCATGATTTTAACTTAATTCTGTTTTGTTGCAAATGGGGCCTCATGTTCCATGTTTCTTCCAGCCCACAGCACAGGCGTACCTAAAATCTGCAGGAAGTGACCTGACTCCCACACCAGCATCACTGGCTGTCTGGGCTCTCAACTCCTCTGCAGTCAGAAGGCAGTGAAGGCGATACAGTATGCTGGGGAGACAAACTGCTTTTCTCCACAGTGATGCAGGAATTGGATGGATAGCACAGAGTTCAGGAACCAGGATCTTTGAGTAAGGAAAAAAGTAGGTAGATAAATATAAAGCATGTACACAAAAAATAAAAAGAAAAAAATTAAAGACCAATTTCACTAATGGATAAAAATGAAAGTCGTAAGTCTAATTCTAAAAATTATTTTTTAAGCCAGGCATGGTAGCACATGTCTGTGATTCCAGCTACTTGCAAGACTGAAGCAGGACTGCCAAGTATGAAGCCAACCTGGATAAAATCTGAGACAGGGAGGCCTTATCTCCACATTATTTTTTTAAAAAGAAGAGGAAGAGGAAAAAAGGAAGGGAGAAAAAGAAAGAAGTAGAGGAAGAAGAAAAAGAAGACAACAATGAAAACAAAAATGATGACATAATTTTAAAAGAGCTGTCAATGTAAATCAATAGCTCCCTGGTTCAGTCTCTACTATTGAAAAAAAAATGTTTTCTAAATAATTCTTTAAATTCAAATGAGATTTAGGTTAAGGCCTATGAGGGTGATATGATGTAACTACAATGATTATACATTAAAGATGGCATTCACATTAAATAAGATTAAAATAAAACAAAAAAAGCAACTTCCTAATATTTACACATCACTCAGCCAACCTGATAATAAAAACTACACCTTAGCTTTAAAAGCACTGAGTTATGCTCGTAACAACCCCTTACCTGTTTATTCTGCAGACTTTCCCACTTGGCTTTCCTCTTTTCAGCACTACTTAGAGGGAGCGCTTTCCCCTTCTGATTCAAATGTCGAGGTGTCAAAAGATTAAGTCTATAAAAATTTCAAGACAATTTTACCAAACAGTGAGAAGTACACTCTCACACGGTTTTCCAACTTCCATGTGCCTAGGAATCACCTAAGAGCTAATTAAAACTGCAGACTTGTGAACTATCCTCTGCACAAGTCCTTGTGCAAAGCGTCCCTCAAGGGCAGAGTCCAGGGGTAAGCAGGACATTGTGACTGCATTTGGCTGGGACATCCAGGAAGAACACCTCGAGTGCCTTCTACGTGCTATTTTTGAAGCTCTTACCTGGAGGACGTGTGGTCCACATCTAGCAGTGGCTGGTTGAGATTGGTCAGGTCAAGGTTATACTTTGTTTTATAATATTCTGCAAAAGTTTCATACTCAGGGGAAGGAAATTTACTCAGAGGGGTAAGATCAGTGTACACATCAGCTACATAAAATCGATGAGGCTGATCAAAATTACGGTATCTAAAAAAAGAAAAATAATCAGTTGCTTTTTTGCTGTTCTAAACCACTACATTACCACTAAGAATTAAAAAAGCAATAGCTAGTAACATTAATGAAAAATATAATTCTAAAAGACACATTTCAAGTATACTTGAGACAGTAAGAGCTATAAATTTTTATCAAGTAAAAACTATTATCCCCTACTTCACTCTCTTTGTTCTACATCACTACACTTGGGTAACATGTAAGAATTTTAAATGGCACCTTCAAATATTTATTTTAGTAAAGGAAGTTTTATTTTTTTTGCCATAATTTTATAAAGGAAGTTTTAATTGGAAAGACTATAAATAGATTATCTTAACTTCATAAAATAGAAAACCCTGGGGCTGGGGAGATGGCTCAGAGAAATAAGCACTTCCCTGGCAAGCTCAAGGGCCTGAGTTCAATCCCCAGTTCTGCCAAAAAAAAAAAGAAAAAGAAAAAGAAAAGAAATAAAAACCCCTGACCTGCAGAGCTTTAAGGCTGGTTTTTTTTAAACAAATAAACCACAGAAACATGCCCACTAAAAAGACACCCATGTGCCATCCTAGGGCTAAAGTCACACACAGCTCACCTACACACTCCCACAGGAACGCCTGTCTTCTGAAACAAAGTACAACCTTACTTCCCTTCCCATTTAAATACCTACCTTGGAATGATAACTGCATCTTGGTAATCTTCTAATTTAAAAACAAATGGTGTTTCCTTTGAATACTTCGTATTGGGAATACCTATGCGAGCCTCAGATTTCTCAATATCTTCCATAAATTTAAAGTCAATGTCCAAAGTGCTGGAGTCATTAACTTAGGGAAGGAAAAAGGCTCTTTAGCTGGTTAAAATGTAAATATTCAAGTTATACACTAACACATGTATCTAATTTAGAGTTACTTCCATATATAGTAAGCTAATTACAAGAAAAACTTCCATTTTTTCAGTTACTATGTAAGAGTTCTTTAAAGGCCAGGAGTGGTGGCCACACCTGCAGTGCCAGCATTCCGAGGTCTGAGGAGGGAGGATCACCATGAGTTCAAGGCCAGCCTGGACTACATAGCAAGTATGAGGACTGCATAGTGAGACCTTGTCTCAAAAAAAAAACGTAAAGTCTGGGTCCTTCTTACCAACATTAAGAGGTAGAACACAGTATGCTGAATCAGCATCTGTAGGCTTAAATTCTAGTGCAGGTTTTTCAAGCCGAAGAATATGTGAGAATATATACTGGTGAAGTCTTGTAATCAACTCAAGCATTTGCAGAGACAATGTGAAGCCAGATTTCTTCAACTCAATGGATATGGTAACTTCTCCAGAGCGTGTATACACAGGAAAGTGGGGAATCTTAGCAAAAAGAAAAGTAACCCTTAATATCAACAAGCACTTTGTTCCCTTACAATTAACTTCAAAGGAGAACAATGTTTTATTCTGTCAGAGTACAAGAAATACCTCAAACTCTAAATATTAAACAACCTGAGGTAACAAAGGCATGGCTAAATTTCTATCTTTTCCTTAAAGAAAAAAGGCTAAAGCCAAGACATCTTCAACATCAACACGCATTAAGAAGGGACTACCTGAGGTATGGGCTTGGCTGTCAGGATCCCAAAGCATCTCGTGGTATCTTCCGGGGGATAGAGCTTCCGCCTTCTGAAGTTGAGCTCATCAGGTAATGGAGTCGTCAAGACCATCCCTATCACATATAGGTAACAGGGCTGATTCGGTTTAGGATAACTGTCCCTTAAACACTCTGGAATCTAGAGTTGGAAAGAAAAATTCAGCATCATATTTAAGTATAAATGGCCACTATTCCAGATATCAGGAAAAAAAATGTATCCCTAGCTATTCTTAAAGCTGAGAAGCTGATGAAAAAAAGCTTCCAAGAACTCTCTGGGAACAAGATCTCTTTACTACTCAGCTCTGCTGAGTAAGGCAACATTCTCAGGTCTGGCTGCACAGTTGTACAAACCTGCATACATCATAATATGAAAGTTACACACATGTGCATAAATATATATTATGTAAAAAATGAAACATGACAGGGTCTTTTTAAAGATGCTACTCATCTGATCTATTATCTATTTCTTTTTTCTTTTCTTTCTTTTTTTCTTCTTTCTTTCTTTCTTTTTTTTTTTTAGCACGGGGGATTGAACTCAGGACCTTGTGCTTCCCAGGCAAGCACTTATTCTACTGAGCTATCTCCCCGGCTATTATCTATTTCTTTTAACTAGAAAACTCTTCTTTCTTGGGCTTTCACAGTATGTATTCACAGTATGTATTCACCGTAGCATATTAGCAAATAAAGGTAGACCAATTTTTTAAAATTACACAATCCTATCATTCAACGATAACCTTTTAACATTGTTACACTGTTGAAGCATTTTACTACAAACAAATACCTGTAAAACATACATGTTTCCATATTTTTCAATAAAAAGAAGTCACAACAGGCTGGTATGTGAGCACATGCAAATAATCTGATTCTCATCCCCAGTCACTACAACAAATCGCTGCTCATTGAATCAATACTGTCAGATTTCATGGCTATCTCATTACATGATTGAGCCATAATTAAATTATCTCAGATTGTTTCTAAGCTTTCAATATTAACACAACCTTACAGATTAGGATCTTTCAGTCTCGGGGATTCAATTACAAATTATTGCATCTGTAGCTATACATCTATAGCAATGCTAGTCAAGAGAACACAGGTAATAGCAGATGATACAATGTGCCTATTAGTTAAATGGGATGCAGTATGATACCTCTCAGAACACTTATTATCACCAGTAGTATTGATCACACAAAACTAGTCCAACAGAACAACTGGGTATAAGGGAAACAAGCATTTTTCAACAGTAGGCAACAGTCAAGTTTTTTGAAAAACCAGCATGTGATTTTGGATCTTGAAAATGCTTAGCTAAATACTATTTCCTTAAATGTAAAACTCAGTAACAACTGGAAAAAAAAAAAAAAAACCAAAACATTTAGGCTAAGATGAAAATATACAGCAAATTTCTGCCTTTGTTTAGAATTTTTATGAGATAAAAATACTGTCCTAGGAAAGATCTGATACTTCCCTCAAGTAAGGTGCAACTCTAAGTCAGTCTCAGGAATGTTTAGAAGTGCAGAAGCATCGCACGCAGGAGCCTCCTTGGGCTCTCAGTGGCGCCACCCAAGCTGGCACCTGCCCCTGCGCTCCCAGCTTCCTGCATCCCTTCGGGACAGCACTCTCCCTTGCCTGGTTCATGCCTCTTCAACCTTCTTGTTTCAGTGCCAGTGGGAAGTAAAGCAATAATCAACACCGTTAAATTGAATCAAACAAAGAATGTCTCTTTCATTCTTTCTAAACTCATTCTGGGTAGAATCTAATAGATGAGTCCAAGAAACCTTTTGAAGCAAAAAAATAACGAAACCAAACACCATCTACAATGAAAGCAGGGGGCGCTGGGAAGATGGCTCATTAGAATAAGCGCTTGCCTGGCAAGCACAAGGACCTGGGTTCAATCCCCAGTTCCACAAAAAAATAAAACAAAATAAATTAAATTAAATTAAATGAAAAAGCCGAGCCAGGGATATAGCTCAGAGGCATAGAGCCTGCCTGGCAAGCACAAGGTTCTGAGTGTGACTCCCGGTTAGTAAGTAAGAAAGAAAGAAAGACAGACAGACAGAAAGAGAGAGAAAGTAAAGGGGCTAATCTAAGAGCAGCTGTAAACCAGACAACTTACTGAGATTCACAGAGTGGGTCATATTACAAGGATCTGGGAAACAACCACATGGAGGAAGTTAGATTTGACATAGCAGAAGTAAAAAGGCTAGATTTGTATTCAGTTCTAACCAATACTAACTGCTTTGGGGTAGCACTGCCTGCGTTTTGTGGAGCCTGGTCTCCCTGGAACACTGGTCTCTTCTTCATCATGTAAATCAAGCTCTTCTTCATATTTTACAGTCTCTTTCCCAACTGGCATCAAATGTTCATCCAGTTCACCTAAGAAATTTGGAAAGGGAATTATTGCAAATAACCCAGATTTTGCCACTCTCACTAGGAAATAATCTACAATAGCACTACTTAATGAAACAAGCAGAAAAATAATGAAAACTCATCATGTGACAGTAACTAGACGTGAAACTTCAGTCAGTCTAGGGAGCAGAGCCTATTCTACAACTGTTGTACAACTCACAATAAAAACACCAGAACAGACCATAGCATACAACAGTTCTTAACAAGAAGTCCATGGAAAGAAACGAGGGAGAGAGGGAGGGAAGGACGGAAGGACAGTAGGTATTTACC